TATATTTGTATAAATATGCCTTATGTTATTCTTTTTTGTGGTGTTGGGGATTGAACCCAGGGCCTCAAGTGTGCTAGGCAAGTACTCTACCACTGAGCTACAACTCCAACCTCCCCCTACCCCACCCCGCTCTTTTTTCAGTTTGTGTACTGAGTATACAAAATCTTTCCCCTTACATGATATATATAGATAATGAAATGTCACATGGTAATGCATAAATATATATACTTTCTTTGTATCAAAAAATCTAATCTCCCATAGCAAATTTTAGGTATATATTACAATATTATTTACTGTATTTAGCATATGGTATTATAGATACTTAGAAGTTCATCCATCTTTGTTGGGGGGTGGCACCTGAGCTGGAGCTGAGCACACCTCCTCAGCCTTGAGTAATGGGGATATTGAACTGGCATTGCATGCAGTGCAAAGCAAGTAGATCTTACCTTCGCTCGGCAAGGAAGTGCAGCTCTGGGATTGGGCATCAYCCATGGGACTGGGCTACACCCCCTTTTGTTGTAACACAATCCCTTGTCTTATTTGGTGGAATATTCTTTCCTCTGATACATACAGGGGTTTGGGGTACTTTCTTTCTCTCTCGCTTCCCTTGTTCCTCTTGCCCTCCAAYGTGGGAACTAAGGTCTCAGAGCTGTCCCTGATCCCCACAAAAGGTATTTCTGTGTTTGTGTAGTCTTTTTGTTGCCAGCCCAATTCATGCTGAGTGACCCTGACTCTATCACTGCGGGACGCAGGCGATACATCTTGTTTTGAAAGTTGATTCTTCCTGGCCAGCATCTCTCTATTCATAAAGTCCTCCAAGTTCATCTTCATAATTACAGATGGAAAGATTTCCTTCTTTTGAAAGGTTGAGTCCACTATATATGTATTCTGAAATATTTATAAACCATATATCTGAGAAGGGACCATATAAAGAACTTCTACAACTCAATAGCAGAAAAACAAATAACCTGATTTAAAAACGGGCCACCGACTTGAATTGATATCTTGCCAAAGAAGACAAACAGATGTCCCATAGGTATATGATAAGGTGTTGAGCATCACTAATCATCATCCTTACACTTCTTAGATCATCTGTTAAAAAGAAATAATAACAAATGTTAGTAAGGATGTGGAGAAAAGGGAATCCTTGTATAGTGTTGGGGAATGTAAATTGATATAGCCATTATTTAAGACAATATRAAAAAACCTTCMAAAAWWAAAAATAGAACCACCATATGATCCAGCAATCCCATTTCTGGGTTTGTGTTCAAAGGAAATGAAATCAGTGTCTTGATAAGATATTTGCATTCCTGTGTTTTTTTATCATTATTCATAATAATGTCCATTAATGAATGACTAGAATTTTATTAGAATAAATAACTATAATCATGATAGTGTGAAATTTTCTAAGTAATTTAGTTTTAAGTGTGATGTATCAGAATTAAATGGGGAACTTGTTGTGGAAGATGAACTTTCTTGCAAGATATAAAAATTTATTTAAGAAAATTAAAAAAATATTTAGGGCTGTAGTTTGGTTCTTTTCTGTGACTTTATGTAAAGCTTTATTTCCTTTAATTGATTTATTCCTCAGTATTTGCTTTAGCTGGAGGCCTTTTTTCACCATGAAGCCTTATTTTTCTAATAGTATTATTTGTGTTTTTAACTCTATGTTAACATCTGTGATTTTTAAAAAATATGCAGTAACTGGCATATTTTGCCCATCTGCAACATTAAAAGATTATGGATTCTTAATAGGTGTTTTGGAAGCAATAACAGAAAAGACTCTTCATAGTGATATTGAATTTAAAATGTAAGTATTTTTTTATTATGAAAATAACAAGGTGTGTTTTAAAACTCAAATCTTAAACATCTTTGGCTATTATTCCTGCTTCAGTTTTTTTTTTTTTAAAGTATATATTTTTTAGTTGTAGATGGACACAATTTTTTCTTTCTTTCTTTCCTTTCTTTCTTTTGCTGAGGATTGAACCCAGTGCCTCACAAGGCAAATGCTCTACCACTCAGCTACAACCCCAGCCCCTCCTGTGTCAGTTTTACAGAAATATTTACAGAATTAAAAACTTGGGACTTAATGGGTTAATTTTGAAACTATAAGTTCGAACTGGTATGTAAAACCACTGAWACTAGGACAAATAAAATGATTCATGGGTTAAACTTTTATTCTAAGATTTGAAAGCTCTCTTTTATAGATGTATACACAAAAAGGATAAGAATACCTAATTATCAAATCATTGTAAAACACTTGTGATTTGACAGCAACCTCAATGTGAAATAATCTGCATTTTTAAAACAGTCACAGAGAGAGAGAGAGAGAGAGAGAGAGAGAGAGAGAGAGAGAGAGAGAGAGAGAGAGAGAGAGAGAGAGAGAGAGAGAGAGAGAGAGAGAGAGAGAGAGAGAGAGAGAGAGAGAGAGAGCGAGAGAGCCCGTGCGCCAGGGATAATGACTCAAGCCTCTAATCCCAGCTACTCAGGAGGCTGAAGCAGGATTGTGATTTGGAGGCCAGTCTTGGCAATTTAGCAAGACCTTTTTTCAAGCCTGAAAGACTGGAAGTGTAGCTCAGTGGTAAAGTGCCCTTGGGTGTCATCCCTAGTACTGCAAACATTAAAAAAAGAAGAAAAAAAAAGAAATAATAATAATAAAAGAAAAACAAAACTGTTGCAAACAGAATAGTATTTGCAAGACCCAACTTCTAAAGCAAAAAATTACCACAGATTTTTTGTGAATATCAAGTTAATTTCTGGAAGTTCTGGGGATTGAACCCAGGGCCTTATATCATTAAGCAAATGCTATACTACTGAGCTGTATCCCCAGCTATCTTTTTACTTTATACCTAAATAAATCTTATTACTAAATTTCCATTTTTATTTTAATTTTAAATTTTTATTTATTTAATTTAATGTTATAAAAATTAACTTTATAATCCTTAAATAGATAATGTAGTAATTACTTGTCGAATGTTTCAAAATAACATTTTAAAAAAATTTATTTCTTCTCTGRTACATTAAAAAATAACTGTACATATTAATGGAGCAACGTACACTGCTGGATACAGTATATGTGTGCTGCAGCAGCTCAGGAGGCTGAGGCAGGAGGATTACAGATTCAGGGCCAGCCAAGGCAATTTAGTGAGAMCCTGCCTCAAAATAAATAAATAAAATGAATGGAGTAATAAGGGATATGTCCAAATTTGTGTTTTTAAAATACATAACTTGAGTTATAAATAAAACTATTTTATGTATAACTAAAAGCGTAGTTAGATATAAACTAAGTATACTTGTAGCCTGATATAGCAGCAGCACATAACTATAGTCTGGCTTGGAAAGCTAAGGCAGGAAGATCGCAGTATAGAGGCCAGTCTGGCAATCTGGTAAGACCATATCTCAAAAAGATAACTCAAATGTTGTGTAGATAATAAATGTTTTGAAGAAAACAGTGAAATTTTCTATAATATTTATTTATTTATTTATTTTTCTTTTAAAAAGAGAGAGAGAGAGAATTTTAATATTTATTTTTTAGTTTTCGGCGGACACAACATCTTTGTATGTGGTGCTGAGGATTGAACCCGGGCCGCACGCATGCCAGGCAAGCGCGCTACCATTTGAGCCACATCCCCAGCCCAATATTTATTTATTTGTTTGTTTGTTTGTTTATTTATTGGTACGGGGGATTGAACTCAGGGGCACTTGACACCAAGCCTCATTCCCARCCCTATTTTGTATTGTATTTAAAGACAGGGTCTCACTGAGTTGCTTAGTGCCTCACTTTTTGCTGAGGCTGGCTTTGAAYTTGTGATCTTCCTGCCTCAGCCTTCCCAGCTGCTGGGATTACAGGTGTGCACCACTGAGCCCAGCTTCTATAATATTTTTAATAGTTGTTAAATTATTTGTAACTTGTTAGCCAGTACTTACGACATTATGCTATAGTGTGTCTTACACTAAGAAGACGGGAAAATCAACTCATGTACCTATGCATTTCAATCTTTTTTTGTGTGTGTGTTTCCAGGTTGTATGCGAGGATTGATCTTTTTTTACACTTAGTTTTAGCTGTTACCTATTTTTAGTTGATATTTGCAACTTCCTTTTCACAAAGAGTCATTTTTTCATGCCATTTTAAAATCTCAACTGTGATGACTTGTAAGAAATTCAAATACTGAGGAAGGATCACTTATCTCCTAGTAATCATCATGTTTTGGGGTTATATCCCCATATATATCCTACAGTCAGTCAATGCTCTTTTATCACCTATTTTAGTATCCTAATTCTTGGGTTAGGACCAAGGACCARTGGTATATATAAAATACTTAGTGTGGGATTATTGATTTTGACTAGTGCTAGTAAACAGAAGATGCTTAGGGAAAAAAGTGTAGATAAATTAGAGGTAATTGGGTACTAATAAAATTGTGCAATTTTAAATGATTAGTGTTGCTTTCTGATTTTTTTTGTGTGTGTGTTTATGAGAGAGATATATGACAATTATATATTTGAACTTTCTTTGCTCACTTTTTTTTTTTTTTTTGTATTGAGGATAGAACCTATGGTCTTGTGCATGCTTTGCAAGTACTCTGCCATTGAGATAAGTCCCCAATYCCTATATATTTGAACTTTCTATTCTAAATGTATAGCAAAATTTGGATCACTGATGTGTTAAGTTTAAGTAAGTTAGTGAGGATTTTAGGACTAAAAGATTTAAAAATTTATTTCCTTAGGTATTTTCCCTTGAGAAGTTTTGCAAGATTACATTGAGTTTTTCTTTCAGGTACTAATRTTTATTTGTTAATAAAGCAAAAATAAATTATTTTATGACTTTTCTGTATATGAGAATCCATTAAATATTTTTAGATGATGTGATTTTTAAAAAATATTGATTTTATTATAATACTACAAAGAGTTTACAGTCTATGTCAGGGCTTATTAGAAAAATGGAAAAGTTCACTAATATTTGTAAGACTTTTTAGATTGTAAATGACTATCTTCTTTTCTAGGTCTGTTAAAATTTTGCACTGTAGGATTTTGTGGAATTGGGAGCCTAATTGATTTCATTCTTATTTCAATGCAGGTAAGTTCATTTTAATCTGGAATGTAAACTTTCTTATATTCAAAATTGAATTTGGTGGTCTTCTGGTATATTTTAAATTTAAAATACATTAGTAAGCAGATAGAATATTTGTTTCAATTTTTCATCAAATACTGGATTGTCATCATTTTTCAACTTATTATTTTCCCAACTGTGGTTCTAAAGATATAAGATATTCTTAAAAAAGGATTCCATATTYAAATGTGATTTGTAGATGTGAGTTCAACGGTTAAATAGGTTTCTTTATTGAATAACTTTTCAGAATGTTTATAATACAAATTGAGTCTTTAAGAGGGAGGGTATTGTAGTTATTTCTCAAACTTACTTTTTATTTTTATTTTCATTTTCAGTGATGGGGATGGAGCCAGGGATACTCTGAGCTACATTCCCAACCCTTTTTCTTTTTTATTTTGAAWTAGGGTCTCACTGAGTTGTTGAGGCTGGCCTCAAGCTTACAATTCTCCTGCCTCAACTTCCAGAGTAGCTGGGATTACAAGCAGGTGTCACTATTTCTGGACATTTGGGCATAAAAAACATCTTTTAAGTGCTTAAAGAATAACATCTCACAAACTGCCTGCTTCCTTCCCTAATTGAAGCAGGAGAAAGTGAGGCCAATACAGAGAAACAGAGATGAATATCAGGAGAGTTTGAAATATATCATTTTTTTGCATGGATTTGGTCTTCCTTGAAGGTAGCCCCCCTCCTAGACATTTTYAAAATATTTATTTATTTATTTWTTAGTTGTAGTTKAGCACAATATATTTATTTATTTTTATGTGGTGCTGGGGATTGAACCCAGGGCCTCGCTCATGCTAGGTGAGCGCTCTACTGCTGAGCCACAACCCCAGGTCCCCCTCCTAGACATTTTATGGAGCATTCATACAATCCTTTTGCGGGGGTGGGGGGGGCGGCGGGGAGGCATAAGCCAGTTAGCTGCAACTTTTGTAACACACAATGAGCAGAATATTAGTATAGAATCCTTGTCTAGTGCAAAAGACAATTTTATTTCTGCTTTCATAATGTTTGTATATATCAGAGTCTCATCARTGTCCTGTTATATTAATTGACAAGATGACTGGATCTGTCAGCTTCGGGGGATAYAGCTCAGCATACAAAGTCCTGGGTCCAATCCTTTGTACACATACACAAAAAAGGAGTTATAATTAACTCAAGAATTCTTAAATTAAGGGAAAAAGATGAATTTATCTTCAACAAGCATTTATGGAGTACCTAATGTCTTTAGCAAGGGTATCAGTATACATTTAGTTCATCATCTGTTTTGCTCTGCTTTCTCTTCCAGTATTTCTATTCTTCAATTCTGTCTGCTTGATGTTACCATTACATGCTAAAAGAAAGTCAAGATCTAAGAGATTTTGGTACCATACTGTGAGGAGGAGGCAGCATATGGACCAATAAGATACCAGAATTAAACAAGGAAAATATTTGGTTTTAAAGTTGGAATTTTCCTGCCTTTGCTCGTAAACATATGCCTAACCAAATATCCTGCCTTCTTTAACTGTGGGACAGGCAAGCAGGCATGAAGAGGCTAAAGTACTTGTACACATATGCTTAGAAATGGGTTTCTCATTTTAAATGAGGATCCAAGGAATTGAATGATTATTGGTATTCTTTTTTTTTTTTTTTTTTTTTTTTGGTGGTTCTGGGGACTGAATTCAGGGCATTGTGCATGCGAGGCAAGCACTCTACTAACTGAGCAGTATCCCCAGCCCAATTATTGGGATTCTTCAAGTTAAGATATCCAGAATTCAAAGTGTCTTTGTATCCCAACCAGGCTAGATTCTTTCTTTGGTGATATTATCTTTGCTTTGCAGCTTTAGTTATATCAAATTCTACAGTTGATTTGATCAGCTACTGTTTTCTGATTTACATATGTATACCTGAAATAGGTACGTTATTTTTTTTAAAGAACTTCTGGGTCTAGGACTCTACAGTATTGAGCTTCCTTTTTTGGCAGATGGTGGAAAGGTTTGCTGAGGATTGAACCTACTGGTSCTCTACCATACATCCCTAGCCCTTTAGTTTTCATTTTGAGGCAGGGTCTCACGTGGTGCTGAGGCTGGCCTTGAACTTGAGATCCTCTTGCTTCAGCCTCCTGAGTCACTGGGATTACATGCATGGGCCACCATGCTGAGCTAAGAAATTATTGAAATAGAATTAGTGTTTGAATTTCTGCAGTTAATTTCTCTGAATAAAATATTTTAATACATTTGGCCACTTTAGACTGTTTCAGATTGGGGTAATAAAATCAATTTTCAAACGTAACCAAGTAAGATGTGTAGCCTATTTATCTGTCATTTAATATACTCAAAGCAATGATGACTACATCAGTTTTATTAGAGTTTTTTTCAGCAAATCAAATAATTTTTACTTTAARTATCATCAACTATAATATTTATGTCCTGATTGTATTTTTAAATTTCTTAATAGACCTTTTGTTTATTATCATTTTGTTTATTTTTCTTTCTCCATGCCTGTTTTTTTTTTAACTTCTTTTTCTTTTGCCATTAAATATTATTTCCCAGTGAATAGGAGTGTTTTTCTATTGGACTGTGATTTCAGAAATATATACGTGGATTTGGACCTATAAAAACATTGTTTCACAATCTTTATTACAAAAATATAGGAATACAGTTATTTCATGTTAGAACCAAAACAACATAAAGTATAATGCACAGCTGGTTGCAGTGTTACACACATGTAATCCCAGTGACTTGGGAGGCTRAAGCAGGAGGATTCCAAGTTTGAGGCCAGCCTCAGCAACTTATCAAGGCCTTCAGCAACTTAATAAGACCCTGTCTTAAATAAAAAAATAAAAAGGGCTAGGGATGTGACTCAGTGGTAAAGTGCTCCTGGGTTCAATCCCTAGTACCAATAAAATAAGAAAATAAAATATTGCTACAGTAAAGAAGGTTTATATGTTGCTGTGTTCACTGAAAATACTTAGTTTTTTTTTTTTTTTTTTTTTCCTTCTTCTTGGTACCAAGGATTAAATCCAGGAGTGCTTGATGGCTGGGTCACATCCCCAGCCTTTTTTAGTTTTCGTTTGAAATAGCATCTTGCTAGGTTGCTGAGGCTGGCCTCAAACTTTCAATCCTTCTGCCTCAGCCTCCTGAGTCTCTGGGATTATAGGCCTGTACCAGCAGGTCTAGCTCACCTAGCCTTTATCTRTTAATAAAATTTGGAAGTTTTTATATTTTTATATTTGTATTATAAGGAAACAATATAAATCATGAATAAGATGAAATAGTAAATAGAATGCAGTCAACAAAAATGTAAATCAGTGATATCTAGAGTATACAATTTTTCAGCTGTAAGTAATCATATATATATTATATATAGTTATTCTTAAGGTAGGTTTGTAGATTTAAAAACAGTCATTCTGTTGTATCTATGGATTTTTGCATATAATTATGTMCTGTATAAAGACATTTTGGCCAACTGAAATAAACCACATATATCATGGTGGTCCCATAAGATTGTAGTAGAGCTGAAAAATTCCTATCACCTAGTGACATCATAATTRTCCCTGACATTGTAGTGTGATGCATTATTGACATGTTTGCTGATGCTCATGGAAACRAACCTTTTAGTTCTATCACTGTTTTTAGTGGCAGTTATATAAAAATATAGCACAAACAGTTATGTACAATATATAATGTGTGATAATAAATGACTTCATTACTGRTCATTTAAGTGTTTATTATACTATTATCATTATTTAGTATACTTCCACTTATTTAAAAAAGTTTACTGTGAAATAGCATGCTGTATTATTTTAGCAGCTGCCTCATCTTGTGTTTACTGCATCAATAGGCAAGGTCAGGTGACTGGTATATACCTAGATTTGTGTAACTACACTCTGAAGTTTGCAAAATGATAAAATGGCCTACTTATGCTTTTTTGGGAACATGTCATTATTAAATGATACATATATATACACCATAAAGAATAGATTAGATGGTATAAGCTTTTTTATTATAAAAAATGGAATATTTTATTTATGCTTAAACCTCCTTTTTCACTCACAGTCTAACATTTTAAATTATATAATCACTGATGTCTACTCTATCAAAGTTTTGTTAAGTAGAGGGAAGATAACCACAAATCAGGAAGATAAGTATGCATAAGGGGGAAAATGAAAATATGTGTTGGGATGTAGAAAGTAGTTAGAAGAAAGTATGTTGTTTTTTTGTTTGTTTCAGTTTTTAAAAATTTTGTGTATCGTGGAAGAAATTACTTTCATTTTTATTCCTATTAATGTTACTCATTGTATTTTTTTAAAGGGCTCAACTGGATAAGGAGTAGTAGTAATTCACATACTTTCCAAAACATTTATGAATTTTGTAAATAAATTTATCAGRTTTGAAAAATGTGTCTTATTGTTTTGGCATTTACTATATGCCACTCATTTTAGCACTGGCTTATATACTGCTTTGTATTATTACTCTTCTGAGCTTTTAAACACCAGGTTTGACTTTTCACACATTAATTTCTYGAGGAAAATTTCTTTAGTAGTATGCTAAACATAGAATATGCCCTGAAAWWWWTTTTTTTTTTTGCTGATTTAAATGAATACAATATATCTGTGAAAAAGTATGGGTTTTGTGCCAAGTACTAGCATTATGAAAAGCTAAAAATGGTACTTTTWAAAAAAAGTGAATGCTTTCCTTTAGGACCGTCTTAGAGCATTGGACTGCTATGACAAAATACCTTAGATAGGTAAATTTATAAGCAACAGAAATTCATT